TAAGGATCTGGAAACTGGTCAAGCAATGGTCTGGTGTGTGTCATCCTGGTCTTCAACATCCTACTTCTATGTCATCCTGGTTCTATGATGGAAGGTCAGTAAGTCTCCTGGAAATGGGATGACTGAAGATCAGAGTCTGCATCTTCTGAAGTTAGTTCCTAGGATTCTAATACACACACACGTTGTTTATCTACAAGCTACATATTAGTCAGAGTCAGCATTTACCAAAAGAATGTCAAAAGAATGGTGGATTACAATTCCCCACTGTTGCAAAACTATACTACAACTTCATAGTAATCAAAACAACATGGTACTGACATAAAAACAGACATAGAGAGCAATGCAACAGAATAGAGAGCCCAGAAATAAACCCACGCCTTATGGCCAATTAATAACTGAAAAAAAGGAGGCAAGAACATACAATGGGGTAAAGACAGTCTAACAATAAATGGTTTGGGGGAAATGTAATGGATAAAGGAAAAAATGAGATGAGACCACCTTCTTGGGTCATATTCAAAAACTCTAAATGGATTAAAGACTTAAATGGTAAACTCAAAACTATAAAACTCCTAGGAAAAACAAAACAAAACATAGGCATAAAATCTCAGACATTTCTTGTAGCAATATTTTTTTCTGATAGTCTCCTTGGGCAAGGGAAACAAAAGAAAACAAAACAAATGGGACTGCATCAAACTAAAAAGTTCTTGCACAGCAAAAGCTATATGCAAAATGAAAAGACAACCCACTGAATGGAGAACATATTTGCCAATGATATATCTGGTAAGGAGTTAATGTCCAAAATTTGTAAAGAGCTTATACAACTTAACACCAAAAGAGCAAACAATCCAACTAAAAGATGAGCAAAGTACTTGAATAGACACTTCTCCAAAGAGGACATACAGATGGCCACTAGACATATGAAAAGATGCTCAACAGTCACTGATCACCAGAGAGATGTAATTTAAAACCACAATGAGATAGCACCTCACACCTGCCAGAATGACTATCATCAATAAATCAACAAACAGTAAGTGTCGGTGAGGAGGTGCAGAAAAGGGAACCTCCTGCACTGCTGGTGGGAATGCAGTTTGGTGCAGCCACTGTGGAGAACAGTATGGAGCTTCCTCATGAAGTTAAAAATGGAATTGTATTATGACCCAGGATTTTCCATTTCTGGGAATTTATCTGAGGAAACCTGAAACACTAATTCAAACGGATAAATGCACCCCCTCTTTTCATTGCAGCTTTATTTACAATAGCCAAGATTTGGAAGCAGCCAAAGTGCCCGTCAGTAGATGAGTGGATTAAAAAGCTGTAGGACATTTACACATGGAATACTACTTGGCCACAGAAAGGCAAGGAATCTTACCTTTTGCGATAGCATTGATGGACTTGGAGAGTATTATACTAAGTGAAATAAGCCAATCAGAGACAGACAAATACCACATGATTTCACTTACATGTGGAATCTAATGAACAAAATAAAACAAACAAAATAGAAACAGATTCATAGATACAGAGAGCAGACTGATAGCTGTCATAAGAGAGAGGGGAGTCAGTGGGCATGGTGAAGGGATTAAACAAAAAACACATAAACACACAAACCACACATAAACCTCTTAGACATAGACAACAGTAGTGATTACCAGAGAGGAAGTGGGGAAGGGAGAAGAGGTAAAGCGATGATAAATGGTGATGGACAGAGACTTCACTTGGAATGGGGAATACACAATACAATATACAGATGATGTATTATGGAATTGTACACTCTCATAACCTGTAAAATGACGAGTCTGCACCAGCATGGTATGTCTCAAACTGTGTTTTTTTAGAAAACTAATTTTACAAGACATTTCATGGATTAAAAATGGAAAAATACCCAGTGATCAAATAAGTGTGAAACGTGCAGCACACTGAATGTGCCCCCTTTATTACCCTCTCAGATCCTGCTACTGATTCCAGTGGGATTCAAGTTAATAAACCTCCGAGATGGAAGACTGAGCTGTCGTTGCTGCTACCCCCATTTTGTTTTGTTACAGATGGCATGTACTCACCAAAGGTAACTTCATTCTTCTTCTGACATCTGATTCCAAAAACAAGCGATTCCAGTCATGAAATGTGCATGCTGTGTGCCGATATTTCCAGAAGCTGGACAAATCCCTGATTGCTTCAGGAAGTCCTATGTGAAGACGGGTTCATATGTGGTCGCTCTGAGTCTCCATGCAGCCTTGGTGGCCCTGTGGTCAAGTTCACAAGGACACATTAGTGACCGTGGCTTCCTACCTCTCAGTCACTACCTTGTATTATAGTAAAGGGGCAGGGATAATTGCACTGCTCTGACACCACTCTTTTTTTTTTTTTTTTTTTTTTTTTTTTTTTTTTTTTTTTTTTTTTTATCTTATTGAGTTTTAACAGAGAGGAAGATAGAGGGGTAGAAAGCTAGAAACATCCATGAGAGAGAAATATTGATCAGCTGCCTCTTGCACATCCCCAATAGGTACATGCCCTTGACAGGAATCGAACCTGGGACCTTTCAATCTACAGGCCGTCTATCCACTGAGCCAAACCGGTTTTGGCTCCACTCTTTTTTAAAAGTTGGGGAGCACTTCCAGGTCAAGCACAACCTAGAGTTGCTGATATCAGTCCCCAAACACTCAGAGACTCCAAGCTGAGCAGGACTCTGCCTGTGCAGTAGGCAAGGAATTTCAGGAGGCCTGGTTTCTGAGGAAGTGCTGTCCCACAGCACGTGCGGAGACGACAGAAATAGTCTCTGATCTGCCTGTCCAATACGGGAGCCATGTGTGTCTACTAAGCACTCATAAAGTGGCTGATGCCACTGAGAAAGTGGAATGTTGATTTTGTGTCATTTTAATTCATATAAATTTGAGCAGTCACTATGTGGCTTCAGTCAAGTCACTCAACTTCTCCAGCCCCTCCCAAAGCAAACCACTTTTTCCATCTCTCTAATTCCCTTAATATTTCCAGGACCTTCCATCCTGTTTTTCACAGTGGCTTCACCAATTTACATTCCCACCAACAGTACACAATAGTTTCCTTTTCTCCTCATCCTCGCCAGCACTTGTTATTTCTTGTCTTATATATAATGCAATTTTTTTTTCTTTGAATTTTCACAGAATACCCCTGACATTTCTGGAAGGATCCACAAGAAGGTAGCCAAAACCGGTTTGGTTCAGTGGCTAGAGAGTCGGCCTGAGGGCTGAAAGGTCCTGGGTTCGATTCCAGTCAAGGGCATGTACCTTGGTTGCAGGCACATCCCCAGTAGGAGATGTGCAGGAGGTAGCTGATCGATGTTTCTCTCTCATTGATGTTTCTGTCTATCCCTCTCCCTTCCTCTCTGTAAAAAAATCAATAAAATATATTTTTAAAAATAAAAATAAAGAACAGGACCTTCGTCCCACCAAGGAGAGGCCATGTCAGTGGGTTGGATGAATAGGCTGTGTTTTTGTTATTTGCTTGAATTCTAGATTTTACAAGCCTCTTAGGCCATTGGCTGGTGGGGATGAGGTAATCCACATACTGAACTAAGTTAAGTCTGCCCTATTCTGGGTGCCTGGTCCAACTCTGTCTAAGGACAAGTCAGAGCTCAGGTGTCCTTTGGGAAGCTTTCTCTGATGGTGGCTCCACCCCCTTGCCAGCTGGATCCAGCAGCATCCACCAGGACTTCCACCATCACTGCTGGGGAGCTCACATCCATCGGTGCTGTGCCCCCCTGCCCCCAGCGCGGGGCCTGGCACACACAGTGGGTTCAGTAAACTAGCCCACAGGCTCTCTGGAACTGAATCATCTGAGGGAGGTGTTGGGCACAGCTTCCAGCCCCAAGAACCTTCTTTTTTGGGGAGTGGGAACTAACACCGGGGCAGGCTGGCCCACCCGGAGGAAGTGAGGCCTAAAGTGCATAGGATGGGTTTAGGAGCAGAGGCAAAGACAGGGACTTCTCCTACAGCCCTCCCTGGGGGCCTGGGCTCAGGGGCTCTGAGTTGACTAGCCTGCCTTCTGGGAGGAGGAAAGGGGAAGAGAAATCCCTGGGGAGTGGGTTTTGAGTCAGCTCTATTGTCATAATGGAAACAACACAGCACTGGGCGCAGGACACTTCCCCTGTGTGGGCCGCGCAGTCCTCCTTATGAGATGGAAATAACGGGCCTGCACGGGGAGTTGGGCGTAAATGACAGGGAGTGACAAAGCACTCTGTTAACAGTCAGATGTGAAGGGGGACCCTGCCTCCAGCCAGGGGCTCAGAGCCTGCAACACCTGCCTCCAGCCCAGCTGAAAGCCCCTCGCTTTGTTTAGTCCCATGGTCGGCAAACATGCGGGCTCGAGAGCCACATGTGGCTCTTTGGCCCCTTGAGTATGGTGGCTCTTCCACAAAGTACCACAGCCTGGGCGAGTCTACTTTGAAGAAATGGCGTTAGAAGAAGCTTACGTTTAAAAAATTTGGCTCTCCAAAGAAATTTCAACGGTTGTCCTGTTGCTATTTGGCTCTGTGGACTAATGAGTTTGCCAACCACGCACTGGTTTAGTCCCAGGTCTGAACGCTGACCTGGCCAGTTGGAGCCTTTTGGGACAGGGATTCCTCCTGTCCATCAGGGCACCCACACTGCACCGAGGATCTGCTCCGTGTCCAGAGGGGAGACATTGGAGGGGCAGCCCTTGGGGAGACGGTCCGAAGGTGGACTCAGTGTCCCCGGGGTGAGTGCTGTGCATCCTGGGGTGGAGGGTGCGGAGCTGAGCGGCCAGGAGGAGGGGCCACCGGAGGGGAACGCTGTGCTGAGACTCACGGTGTCAGCCCAGCACCCCGGGACATCCTGTTCCCTCCTCCCTTTGCGCAAGGTCCGGGCCAACAGGAGGTGCCGGGCCGCTCGGGCCCCTGCGAGGCCCCTGCAGCGGGGAGGAGGGCCGCCCCCTCTCCACGGCCAGTGCCCACCCCACACGCGTGGGTGGACAGCCCGCCGTCCAGGTGACCGGCCTGGAAAGCGGTGTAGGTAACGGCGTTTGCTTCCCAGGTGAAGAGGTTTGACCAGCCCGACGGCAGCAGGCGGCGCCCGGGCTCCGCTGGAGGCTGAGGTTTGGGGGAGTCACCGCCCGCTCAGCCCAGCCCCGCCCCGCCCGCCGGGCCGCTTCCTCCTTCGGGCCAGGCGGGGTCCGCCCAGCTTCCCGCCGGCCCCGCCGCTCGCTCCGCGGGCAGCCCCGGCCGCGCCATGTCCGCGGGCTGGTTCCGCCGCCGCTTCCTGCCCGGGGGCCCCGGCGGCCCGCTCCCCGCGGCCCCGCGCTCGCCCCGGCCGCGCGCCAGCCCCGTGCCCTACCGGCGGCCCCGCTTCCTGCGCGGCTCGGCCTCTGGCCCCGCCGCCCCCGACGGCCCGCGCCGCCCGGACGCCCGGCCCGTGCGCTGCCCCGCGCGCGGCCGCGCGCTGCCCTGGAACGCGGGCTACGCCGAGTGAGTGCCCACCCCCTGCCGCCCGCCCAAGCCGCCCCTTCCCCTTCCTGCGGCCCCGGCACCCCGCACCCCGGACCCCTGCGGTGCAGCTGGGGCCTGTGCAGAGCCAGGGAACGGGCTGCGCTGAGTGAGTGATCCCTCCCCAACCTGTGGCGAGCCCCTTCTTGCCCTGCTCTCCGGGCTCGGACAGCCTTCCCCTGCTCCACCTCTGCCTTTTCTCTGGGACTCCGCCCTCCCTCAGAGAAGGAGGTAGCAAGTTGGGAAGGACCTGCACCCCTGGGGCTTCCAACGTGAGACAGGGAGACTGGGTGGAGTGCCCGCTTTCTGAGCTTTGGAGATACCTCCCCCGGTACACGCACACACACACACCCTTTCACCCTGGGTTCTGGCCTATGCTGTGTGGGACAGGGATTCTCGCTTAGATTTGGGGAGGAGGGAGAGAGAAGGGGAGGGAATCGCAAGGGAACCCCAGATTTCCCCAGCAGCCTCACTTCACCTCCCAGGCAGGTCATCAGGCAGACTTCAGGGGGGCTGGGCCCTGCGTTTTGCCTTAGGTTACTGAACAGTTAACATACTTACATCATCTTTGTTCAGACATAAGGGACAGCGTGGGGGCTACTGCCCAGAAGGAGGACTCCTCCCTGTGCACCAGCTCTGGTCTCTGTGCCCACAGGGACATGGGTGTGTCCCTGGAGGGTCACTGATCACTTCCTGGCCTCAGGATCATCAATGCAGAGAAATCTGAGTTCAATGAGGATCAGGCCGCCTGTGGGAAGCTGAGCATCCGGAGGTGTGAGTTTGGGCCTGAAGAGGACCAGGAGTGGTTGACCTTGTGCCCAGAGGAGGTGAGCATACCGGGTTGAGCCCCTCTTACCGCCTGGGGGCCAGGACTAGAGCTAGGACTTCAGGCTGGAGTTCCTGCCCTAGTGCCCCACGCTGGGCCAGGGGTCAACTGGAGAAGCCAGGAAGAACCTGACGCCAGCCTTTTCCCGGGCAGTTCCTGACCGGCCATTACTGGGCACTGTTTGATGGGCACGGCGGTCCGGCTGCAGCCATCCTGGCTGCCAACACCCTGCACTCCTGCCTGCGCCGGCAGCTGGAGGCCATAGGAGAGGGCATGGTGGCCACTCCACCCCCCATGCACCTCAGCGGCCGTTGTGTCTGCCCCAGTGACCCCCAGTTTGTTGAGGAAAAGGGCATTAGGACAGAAGACTTGGTGATCGGGGCTCTGGAGAACGCCTTCCAGGAATGTGTAAGTGTGGCTTTTGACTGGGGAAGGAGTGACAGTTTTGTCCCCGGGGGCCTGAGAAACTTTGGGGGTGGTAGTCACCCTCGATGTTTGAATTGGGAAGACGAGGCTGGGTGGTTTGTTCCTTCCTGACAGCCATCATCATCATCATCATTACCCCTCCCATTGATCCAGTGCCTACTCTGTGCTATGTGCTCTTACCTGCATCATCTCGTTGCACACCGTCAGTCCGTGGTGCCAGAGCTGGTTTCCCTTCCTCACTCATTTTGAGTAGGACTTTCCTCCCTCCCAGCAATACATCCAGATCAGATCACGGGGTCCTGGAGTCATAGCTAGACTTTGGACTAGGACTGCCAGGCTGGTTGGAGAGGAAGTGCACTGCAGGATGAGCGTTGGGGACAGGGTGATACGGTGGCAGCACAAGCTAACGTGGCCTGTTTGCCCCAGGATGAGGTGATCCGGCGGGAGCTGGAGGCCTCAGGCCAAGTGGGTGGCTGCACAGCCCTGGTGGCTGTGTCGCTGAAGGGGAAGCTGTATGTGGCCAACGCCGGAGACAGCAGGTGAGTGGGCTCGGAGAGTGGGGGAGGTGGTGAGTGGGTCAGGTGGCAGGCAGGCAGCAGAGGGCAGGGAGGACAATGAAAGGGGGCTGGAAGTGGAGGGAAGGAAATGGGGAGGCTTGATTAGCTGAGCTATTTGTACACCTGGCCTATATGGAGTATGAGTGGACAGCGGATGCCAGAGCGCGCACAGGGCGAAGGGACTGGGCCTTGACCCTGCAGGCAGTTAGGGAGGACTTTGGACAGGGGGCATGGGCCGAGCAGGCCCCTGGAAGTTGGAGGAGGTGCCAGCAGAAGGATACCATGGGAGAGGTTGGAGGCTTCATCACTGCCCTCTCCTCCTCCTCCCCAATCCCATCCAGAGCCATCTTGGTGCGGAGAGATGAGGTACAGCCTCTGAGCTCTGAGTTTACCCCGGAGACTGAGCGACAACGGATCCAGCAATTGGTAGGTGTCCTTGGCAGAGGGAGGCTGTGGAGCTCCATCTCATGGGTGCAGGGCCACCAAGGAGAGCCTAATCGGAGCATGGCCTTCCTACCCCAGGCCTTTGTCTACCCTGAGCTTCTGGCTGATGAGTTCACCCGACTGGAGTTCCCTCGGCGTCTGAAGGGGGATGACTTGGGGCAGAAAGTTTTGTTCAGGGATTACTACATGAGTGGCTGGTGAGCAGGATGGGGATGGGAAGACAACAGTGGGGAGAACGATGGGGTCCAAGCCCAGCTCGGTAGCCTGGGGCAACCCCCATCCACTTGGGCAGGGTGGACCCTATGTTGAGGGGAGAGAAGGTGGGAAGGAGGGCCTGGGTTGATACTGGGTCTGCTCCTGATAGGAGCTACAAGTGCGTGGAGAAGTCGGATCTCAAGTACCCACTGATTCACGGACAGGGTAGGCAGGTCAGTGAACAGCCCCCTCCAAGAATCCCTCAATTGCTCACTGCAGAGGCAGTTCTTTTGTGCTTGTGGCTGGTGTCTTGGGGCCGGTTCCAAGGCCACGGGATGTTTCTCCCTAAGCCCAGGTGCCTGAGGGCCACAGTCCACCTCTATGCTTTACTGTGCATTTGCTGGGGCTGTTTGCTGTCACCTCATATCTCCCTTGTCCCCAGGCTCGGTTACTGGGAACACTGGCCGTCTCCCGGGGCCTGGGAGACCATCAGCTCAGAGTCCTGGACACAAACATTCATCTCAAGCCCTTCTTGCTCTCTGTCCCACAGGTGAGAGGGCAACAGTCCACCCCAGCTTCCTTCCATCTACCCAGAAAATGAGGCTGGTGGGAGTCAGGAGGGGAAAGTTGAGGGATCCCCAGGCTTAACTTGCAGGTGACAGTGCTGGATTTGGACCAGTTGGAGCTGCAGGAGGAGGATGTGGTTGTCATGGCAACTGATGGGCTCTGGGATGTCCTGTCCAATGAGCAGGTGGCACAGCTAGTGCGGAGCTTCCTCCCTGGCAATCGAGAGGACCCACACAGGTACTGTAACTGCTGGGGACCTGCCTGGGCTGGGGTGCAGCAGCAACACCAAGTAGTTACAGCTGGGAAGACAGCACTGGCAAGCCTGGCTCAGGATTGGTGTGGTCTCAAGATTCCAAGGAGTGGACATGTCTGTGGGTTCAATCTGGGCCTCGCAAGTTTGCAGCTTGCCTGGCCCCCCAGTCGGACTGCATTGCTTGGTCTCCCAAGTGTCTAGCCCAGTGCAGTGAGTTCTCCCTGAGGGCGGGCTTTGCCTCTTCGCTCGGCCCTGGAGTACATCTGCAGGATGATCCCCACAGGTTCTCGGAGCTGGCCAAAATGCTGATACACAGCACACAGGCGAAGGACGGCAGTCCCACAGGGGAAGAGCAGGTGTCCTACGATGACGTCTCCGTGTTCGTGATTCCCTTGTACAGCCAGAGCCAAGGGAGCAGTGGCCACTGAGGATTCAGACGCCACATCCCAGAACCATTCAGGCCAGGTGCAGTGTGGCTGTTGTCAACAGCACACCTGCCTGCCTGCCCCCAGACACAACCCAGGGCTCTTGCCCCCCACTCCAACCCATCCCAAGGGACTTATTTATACCAGGCAGTCAGAACTGGAGAGTGCTCCTCCCTTTGGCAGGCAGTTGGAGAACAAAAAAGGGCAAGGAGTCCCAGTTGGCCGAGTGGGGAATTCCCTCCAATGACTGCTCCTGCCTCTGGGCTAGCATCTCAATTGCTCCTGCCAGGCCCCAGCCCCACCCCAGGCTGATGCCCCAATAATGCCTCTCTATTGTTGCTCCCCATTACCTCCCCATGATTAAATGTTTGTGTGCAGAAAAGCCTGTGGATCGTGAATTCCTGTACAGCTTGGCATTACAATGTACCTTCACTTTCACCTTCCAAACAATCAGTCTTAGCTCTACCTTGCAAGCTTGCATACAGCACTTTTTCTCTATGGCCTCCCTAGTTTCCAGTTTGGGGTGAGCCCCAGTGAGAGTCCTGTTGCCCAGGGAACAGAAAGAAGGTCTCCACCACCAACTGTGAGCTCTGGGCTTGACGTACCAGAAGGGCTGCCCTTTTAACTTTTTTTTTTAATGGAAATTGCATTTTGATGAGCAGCTTAATTTCTTACCCTTCACACAAGACTATTTTACAATCTAGCATTTGCCAAGGCTCAGGTAAAGTACACTGAGTGGCCAGATTATCATGCATTCAGAAATCATAATAATCTGGCCACTCAATGTATTTGTTCAATTATAAGGCAATCGCCTTCATGACCTCAAACTTACTCAACTCTTCCCTGATCCACTATTTAAGTTTACAATTGAGCTGAGTTTTTATCGGGCAATTCACAACCAATGAACAGCAGCTAGGAAGGACAAGGACCAATAAGGCCCCAGAATTGATGGTAAAATTTATGTACCGTATTTTTCGGACCATAATACGCTCCGGACCATAAGACGCACCAGTTTTTAGAGAAGGGAAATGAAGAAAAAAAGATTCTGAAACAAATAGTGTCCTAAAATATTTTATGTGCATTAAAACCCAACATCACAGTCATAAACACATGTAATCAACCCTGTAAAGTAAACAGCAGCATTTAGAACCATTTTAGAGCCGGGCAAGCACACAGAGACCACACAGAGCCGGGCAAGTAAAAAAACTTTTTTTTTAAAGTATATGTGTAGGCTATATTTGGACCATAAGACGCAGGGACTTTTTCCCCCCACGGGGAGAAAAAGTGCGTCTTATGGTCCAAAAAATACGGTATTTACTAACTCCTTGAGGAGGCTCTCAGACCCTCTTTCTGGCCCATTAACTCATTTTAGACTCCATTTCCTAAATTTTTTTTAGGGAAGATAGGAAAACTACAAAATTTCTCTTTTTTCAGTCATTTCCCATAGCCCAGTACTTCCGGACCTACATGTATCCTGACAAACTGGTTGGCCCCAGCCGCCCTGGGCAGCCTCTCCAGGACTCTAGTTAGGCAGCTGGCAAGTGCGGGAGTGTGCCCAAATAACCTGCAGGAGTTTTACTTCCCCTTTCCTCAGTAGTTTCCCACCCTCAAAAGTGTGGGCAGCATCCGGTGTCTGCCTCTCGCCCAAATCAACAGCTGAGCCAACTCATCCTCTTGCTCCTCACACGGAAGGCTGAAGTCAAGGGAGTGGGCGTAGTGGGTCTGTCAACTACAAGCAAGCTGATAGTGACTGCAGCAGCCCTCCCACTGGGTTGTGAGGTCTCTTCCTCCTAGCAATCTGTCAGGAGAGCCTATGCATAAGCTGGGATGTTCCCTCTGCTGCCTTTCACAGCCCTTGACCAACCTCCAGTGACCACAGGCAAAGTAATGGGCCTAAGACTGTCTTCTCTGAGGGCCTAAGACTGTTCAGAGAGGGCCGGGAATAAGGCACACAGCAGGTGCTTGCAGCTCCAAGGATAGAGCAGTTAGAATACAGGCTCTAGTAGTTACCAACTCACAAGCCAGGCAGTGGGTTACCAAGCAAGGATGTCTACCAGAACTGGCATAGGAACCTAAAAGAGGCCCCACTATCCTTGCCTCCCAAAAGCCAAGGCCTAGCAGGATAAATCTTATTCCAGAGGCTGCCATTCTGACCAAGAATGAGGGAACAGAGAGAGTCTTCCCACTAGAGGTTGACTCCCGGCTGGCCCCCCATTTGTCCCAAATTAACTCTTTTCTAGTCTCTCTCTTCATTTTAGTGTGTGGCCTCCTCCAGAAACTGGACCCTGAGTGGGCCCTAATCACGTGGGTCGTGGTAAGGGTTCCCACAATGTAGCACCTCTTTTTTCACCCACCCACATACTGATGGGCACTTGGGCTATTTCCAGATCTTAGCTATTGCAAATTGTGCTGCTATGAACATAGGGTTTCATACATTCTTTTTGATTGGTTTTTCAGGATTCTTAAGATATATTCCTAGAAATAGGATCACGGGGGCAAATGGCAGTTCCATTTTTAATTTTTTTGAGGAAAACCCACACCGTTTTCCATAAAGATTGCATTAATCTGAATTCCCACCAGGAGTGTACTAAGGTTCCCTTTTCTCCACATCTTCAGCAGCACTTGTACTTTATTGATTTTTTATGGTAGCCATTCTGGCAGGTATGAAGTAACATCTCATTGGTTTTAATTAGTATTTCTGATGTTTAGTGACTTTGAACATTTTTTCCACGTGTCTCTTGGCCAACTTTATGTTCTCTTTGGAGAAGTATCTATTTATGTCCTTTAGCCATTTTCTTATTGGTTTTTTTTTTGTCTTCCTTTTGTTAGGTTGTATGAGTTCTTTATATATTTTGGAAATTAACGATGTATCATTGGCAATATGTTCTCCCATATGGTGGGATCCCTTTTCACTTTCTTAATGGTTTCTTTTGCTGTGCAGAAGGTTTTAATTTTGTTGTAGACCCATTTGTTTATTTTTTTTCTTTTATTTCCCTTCCCCTAGGACCATTTTGTTCATTAATTCACGAGCCACATGCAGCTCTTTGGCCCCCTGAGTGTGGCTCTTCCACAAAATACCACAGCCTGGGCAAGTCTATTTTGAATAAGTGGCATTAGAAGAAGTTTAGGTTTAAAAAAGACTCTCAAAAGAAATTTCATTCATTGTACTGATGATATTTGTCTCTGTTGACTAATGAGTTTGCTGACCACTCCCCTAGGAGAAGTATCAATAAACATAATGCTATGAGAGGTATCTGGGGGAAAAAAAAAAAAAAGAAAAAAAAAAGAATGAGGGAACAGTGAAGATGAAAAGTAACCTGAGGTACATGCCAGATGTAAGTCTTTGAAGATCAAGGTTGGCTCAGGCTAGCCATTTCTGGCCATATGGTTGCTTATTAGAGGCTGGGGGTTGAGGAGACCCACGCGGCTCTTCACTTGAAGACTGGGTTTAGGGGTTCCTCCCACCAGCCCATAGCGTAGTCACCAGGGGCAATCAAGGGCAGTCCCAGGAAGCCCAACAATCCATCCACACAGTGTTTCAGCTGACCCCATTGTGAGCCAGGAGATAACCCTCCCACCTCCAACTCTAGGAACCAAACAAACAATGCTACCAAAACTCAAAGGAAGAGGCTAGAGCCATAAAATGCTGTTTAACAGATAACATGGAAAAATGTTTATGTTAAGTACAAAAGAGACATAAAATAGTATATACAGTAGAATAACAACTATGTAAACACACCAAAAATCTACACACAGAAATGTCTAGAGGAACACTTAACACCAAAAGATTAACAGCGATAGCGTTTGGGTGGAAAACTGATTCTTTTTAAAATTTCCAAATTTTCTTTAATAAACATGTATTATTGCAACCAGGAATTTTTTCTTAAAAATAATAACAATAACCCACTAGCTGGTGGCTGAAGAATGCAGTGCTGTTAACTATCACAAATCGGTAGCTCTGGCACAGACTTGAAAGTGGTGAGCAGCCCCACCCACTGAGAATTCAAGCACCTCTGGCTCCACTGAGAGCATCCATGGCCCCAGCCTTCAGCCTCTTTGGCCAACAGCCTTTATTCTCTTTATTCTGCCTTATTCCCAACATCATCTCGTCACTTCCAGCTGTATCGCTTTCCTTTCCTCCCCAATTAAGGAGTCAGGTCCTTATAGAGGCCATGAGTGCATGTTTTCAAAGGACATGGTACCTCAGCTTTGGACACACAACTCAATACATTTTCCTGCTGATAGGAAAATCATGCTTGTAGCTGCTCTGGTAACAGATATGTTAATTATGCAGGTTTCTATTAACCCTGTTACAAGCTCTCTCTCAAGTTATCCCTACCATGAATTTTCTAACCTGGGAAAGCCAGCAGCGGGCAGTAAACAGCTCAGTTCATTTGGTTTCTAAAATTTCCTTCACTATTAAACGGCTAAGCTATATAAAGTGGGTATCACTGAAGCCGCAAGTCCTAGTCGGCATTGAGAAAGATGCATGCCCCTTAACCTTTAAGTTTGAGGAACAAGTCAAAATTGCTAGCCCTGGCCAGTGTTTCACAGTGGTTAGAGCATCAGCCTGCACCAGGTTTGATCCTGGCCACGGTCAGGAGCATGTGCAGGAAGCAACCATTTACTGCATCTCTCACATTGATGTTTATCCCTCCTTCCCTTTCTAAAAATCAATGGAAAAAATATCCTTGGGTGAAGATTAAAAGAAAAAAAAAGTAACTGCTAAAACAAAATAGTAACTGCTTATAATTCATAGCCTATTTCTGCTGCTGAACAGAGGCAGTAATGGCTTGCTTTCCCGCTAGCAGACATGTATTCTATTAAATCATCTTGTTGAGTCTGTTTCTGAAAGTGCAGGGAATATGTTACCTGCTTCATTAAATGTTTGGGAATTTAGTAAAATAACATGCCATTCATTCATCCTGCTCTAAGAAGGCCATGCAGGGGAGAAAAAGCCATAAGCTAGCCACAGCTCATCTCAACCCTGGTCAGGACCCCTCCCTCTCCAAAGAGAAGGCAAGGAACAGGAACAAGAAAGACCTAACAGGTAAACAGGAGTGACCTGTAATTGGTAAAGCCCCAAACTGAAAATGCCATGGTTGCAGCATCCTGTCCCAATACTGTAAGCCAGACACAAAAGGCATGCAGAAGTGACTGTCACACATATAAAGGTGCAGACAGAGTATCACCAGGCAAAAAAGGGGGCTAATACTGCAGAGAGGGCCCCAAAGTGCAGCTTGATGAACACAAGGAAGTTGTCCCAAGACCCTCAATTAGCTGCCATGGGAATAGCAAACACTTGAAGCTTTGCTCCGTTAAGTCTTCTAAGGGGAAATGTAATAGGGAAGACTCACAAACACTTGTGGCAAATACTATTAACAAAAATGCAGTCTTTCCCCAGTCTGTCCTTCAGCTAAACTCCAAGAAACAACAGGTATTTTATATATATGCATACATACACCCTAATAAAACCCTAAAGTCCAAATTGACTGAAAGATGAAATGACCAGTCGCATGACATGCACTGACCACTAGGGAGCAAATGCTCAATGCAGGAGCTGCCCCGTAGTGGTCAGTGCGCTCCCACAGGGGGAGTGCCGCTCAGCCAGAAGCTAGGTTCAGCTGGATGAGTGCATGGGCAGTGGTGGTAGCCTCTCCCACCTCTGCAGCAGTGCTAAGGACCCCTTGGGGATGTCCACCTGCCAGCTTAGGCCAACTCCCAACATGGGGAATAAATCTAAGCCGGCAGGCGGACATCCCCCAAGGGGTCCCAGACTACAAGAGGGTGCAGGCCAGGCTGAAGGAACCCTGCCCCAGTGCACAAATGCCATGCACTGGGCCTCTAGTATACATATATATGTATGCACATACTTAGATATATTTAAGTGAAGGTGTACACACTGTGCTAGAATACAAACAACAGAAATCCCAGGTCATATATAAAAAGGCTAATATAACATATAACACAGGCCTGGAGCCAGCTCATGGTTGAGAGCTGGAAAGGGATGGTATCATCATCAGACTATGTACACCATTTGTGGTGGGCAGGGAAGGCATCAATGTAAACAACTCAAACTTACTCCACAATACTGGCCCCACATGAAAGTATGATGTATCTCATGTACAAAAATAGACTCCCTTGCTTTTGTACACGACCACACTGGGTAGACACCCAGGAGGACCATGGGTTTGTCTTGATGACGAGGGACCACACTAGGCTACTGCTAAACCTCCCAGTCCCCTTCCTCCCTTTTAGGTTCTTGGGTATTTTCCCACCAAAACCCAGAGCATGAGGCATGTCTAGATCGTCCACCCTCAAATGACTATAACTTGCAAGCTTCCTAGCAACAAGGTCTTTCTGTATCTGTCCCTTTCTGACCCCAAGATATATGAAGACTTATTTCTGTAAATGTTTGGCACCTAAGTAACATGAAGGTTGTGGATTATACCACAATAACACAGGGAAACCAATAATAAGACATGCAGGGTGAGGACAAGGTGCACTGAACTGCTCTAACATCTCAAACCAGAACTGTGGCTTCCCATGCATTTACGGGGGATGGGAGAGGGGATGTGCAGAATTAATAACTTCACTAGCTCCTCAGCAGCAAATACATTCAAAATTGAAGGTGCCTTAAGGGCCCCACTATACCCTAATCATGAGTCTGTCTGGTCATCCTCTGGAGGAGCTTGGTGCAGTTGACGGCTAGAAAATTTAGAGTCCCAATTGAATATGCCCCACCAAGAGTCCTTTTGAAGAAGCTTGGCAAAGTACTTTTTTTCTTTTGAGCAGATGTACAGCACATCCATGGGAAGGCCATGTGGAAGGATGCTCTCCAGCCCAGTCAAACGATCAAGTCCCAATATTAGATCAGTCCCCTCTGAGTTTTTTTCCTGCTGGCCACACTCACTGTACAGAAATAGCCAAACAGCATCAGGATCAGTCATCAATGGTGGGCAACCAGAAGGCCTGGGAAAAGAATATAAAGTCAACTTCAAAAAGCTAAGTTGCTCTCTTAACTACTAAGCGTTCTTTTACCCCTTCCACAGCATCAAGCTGTCCAACCCTTATGGCTGGTGGCCCTCCCTCCCAAACAACCAACTCTGGCAATCTAGGAGAAACACTCCACTTTACACGGTTCTGTTTCCCTCCAATACTGCTACCCTTTTTATCCTTACCACAGAGGCCCAGTGGTAAGGATAAAAAGGAGTGCTGACCAGGAGGTAGGCATCTGGGTAACCTGGCCTTATACTAATGTACCAAGTAACCCTCAGAAAGGCCCTAACCTTCCTGATCTTTAAAAAATGAGGAAGATTGTACTGGATGGTTTTGTTGTATTTTTTTTTCCTGACAGTTTTCATAGGAAGGGGGGAAGGGACGGTGGAGAAAAGAAAGCTAATGTGTTCTGGGTAAGTGCCTCATCCTCCAAACATCCAGGTAGGTTTAGAAGATGTCAAGAGGAAACTGGTGGCTGAGCTCATGATGCTTTATTCTAACAGTGTTATCTAGGAAGAGACACTGCCTGAAGAAAATTTTCTAAGTGATGAGTTATGATCAATTGTAAGAATGTCTGAGGAATTCAGTGATAAGCTGAGAGAAATGGGAATCTTATAGGTTACAACCACAAAAGGCTTGTTCTAAGTATTTTTTTTTTTTTAAATATATTTTATTGATTTTGTACAGAGAGGAAGGGAGAGAGATAGAGAGTTAGAAACATCGATGAGAGAGAGTCATCGATCAGCTGCCTCTTGCATACCCCCTACTGGGGATATGCCCGCAACCAAGGTACATGCCCTTGACCAGAATCGAACCCGGGACCCTTCAGTCCCCAAGCCGACGCTCTATCCATTGAGCCAAACCGGTCTCGGCTGTTCTAAGTATTTTAAGAAGCCAAAAAGCTATCAAAACATAGTCCAGGTAGTTTGGACATAGAACCAGGAGCCAGAGTTAAAACTGACTTAACTCACAGATGATCCCAGATCATAGAAAGAAGAGTTAAATGAAAGGTCAGCCAAACCAGAAATCAGATAATAACAGGTGAAACATGGAAACAACAGTTGAGAAATATAAACTGGGGTGCTCACATACCATGTTCACATACCATGTTGGAACATGCACTGGCAAAGGTCATGAACTTGGGGTTGAACTGCAAACAGGTAATGGGACCTGTATGTTTGCCATCCAACACAGCTACTTTTATACCGCTCCCTCCATTCCAGACACAGATCTTACCTACTTAGAACACATCTTGCTGTGCTCACTTCAGCAGTACAAATATTAGAACATAGCCTGCTGTGCTCGTTGAAACACCCACAACCCAAATGAAGGACATCTCCCACTGTTTACATACCATGTTGGAACATGCACTGGCAAAAGTCATGAACTTGGGGTTGAACTGCAAACAGGTAATGGGACCTGTATGTTTGCCATCCAACACAGCTACTTTTATACCGCTCTCTCCATTCCAGACATGGATCTTGCCATCCTCTGAACCTGAATAGAATGATCAAAGGAACACACAACATCTCAAAGCACAATAAAAAGGCAAGTGGGGAAGAGACATAGACTGGCATCTGAAAAGAGGTCATATTTTAAGACCCAGCCCTCAGCAGAAATTGAGAGGGAGAAGCAGTGAAGAAAATACACTAGAAATTAATTTTGATCCTAATTATTTGTTCCTAAGCAAATAACTTCCCCTCTGACTTTAGTTTTCTCATTAGAAATGGGGGCTGCACCCAGCTGGTATGCACAATGATTGAGTATCAACCCATGCACCAAGGTCACTGGTCAGGGCACATGCCTGGGTTGTGGGCTTGATCCCCAATAGAGGCATGCAGGAGGCAGCCGATCAATGTTGATGTTTCTCCCTCTCCCTTCCTCTCTCCCTAAAATCAATAAAAACATTTTTTTTAAACGGGGGCTGATTTATCATTACATCACCAACACCTAGCCATTAAGATGACTGAAATGGGGGGATGAGAATAAACCAAAGAAATCATATACTTGTATGTATAGCCCATGGACATGGGCAATAAAATAGTGAAGACCTGGAGGGTGGGTAGGGCCTGGGAGGAAGGAGATCAAGGTGAAGAAAATGGAAGATATCTATAAAACTAGCAACAAAAAATATATATATTTAAAAAATATTGAAAGCAGGATTATATCAGAAAGGTAATATTACTAGTAAGATGGTACTTGTAGAGTTTAACCCTAACGCTAGTCCAGGGAAGACCAACATTAATGCCAGTTCCCAGTAAAAAACTGCGAAGTCAAAACTGTTTAAATACACTACACTTTTGGCATACTGTGCTACACAGAAATCTGAGAACATCTTAACAAAAGGATAACAAATATTATCTTAATTAGTTAGAATTAACAAAAATAATACAAACAAAACCTCAATATTAGAAAAATAACCCACAAAGGGTATAAAGAGCACTTACCGATCATAATAAACTGGGAATCTGGAGTAAACGAGGCCTCCAGTGTGACAGCTTTGCTGTTGGCATAACCCTAAAGAAACAGAACCGTTCTCTTGCCAATGTGCCATTAACAAAAACATAACTGCCTAGAAACACTGACCCAGCAGACTCATCCCCTTCCTTTCTATGAAACCATCTTCTCATGCACAACGGCACCAAGTTCCCAAATGTGGCCCCACCCTTTACCACTCACCCCCTACTCCAAACTCCATATTCAAGAGAGCAAAAAAACATTTATGGTCAGGAATTAGAAGACATCTAAATACTAAACTTGGGTCAATGGTGAGAAGTGAATGTCTCAGAATCCAAGAGTTATAAATAAGTTCATATATAGGAACAAAATACAAGCCCGTGCCTCAATCAGTGAGTCAAGGATAGCTGTTTGTCTCCACTAACCAGCGAACTCTCTCAACTCTCAGCCCTGGAGATGGGAACATGGAAGCAGCTATGTCAGCTCACCCCAAACGTGTGCATCACCACTCCCTTGAATGCGTCAATAAGACGAATGAAGCTGCCGTTGGTGGAGATGAGGATGAGTTTGCCATCATTGCTGAACTTGAGTCCTGTCCACTCACAAGTCCGATCGTACTGCATCTTAAATGTTGCAAATGGCCCCTGCAAAAGATAAAAGCAGCAGCCCCAATGCACATCAATAATTCCTCTGCCAGAGCTCTTATCCTATCCCATTTGGATTCCTTTCTGACTAGGGAAAGCAAAGGATGAACTGCTATGACACATGACACTCCCCAATACCTACCATATACCTCTCTATCATAGAAAAGGTTCTTAAAGCCCTAGCTGGTTTGGCTCAGCAGATAGAGAGGATCAGCAAACTGAAAGGTCCCGGGTCCAATTCCGGGTTTCGGACTCAATCCCAGGTAGGGGGCATGCACAGAAGGCAGATCAATAATTTTCTTTCATCATTGATGTTTCTATTTCTTCCTCTCCTTTCCTCTCTAATATATATATATACATATATATTGATTTTAGAGATTTTTTTTTTTTTAAGGTTCTTAAAATGTCCATCTCACCCTTCAAAACTTCCACAATATCAAGATAGCTTAAGGGTTTACCTTATCAAAAGAGCGGAGGTCATAGAGTTTGACCATTTCAGAATTGACGCCTGCAGCAAAAATTAACCCTTCTGGATCAAAAGAACAAACTGGTTTGCCCTGTAAGTGCATGAGGCCCTAAGAAAACAGAAATAAGAAAAAAAGTTAATGAACCTAGGATCCGATCACTATAAAATTTACTTTTCCCAAAGAAAACTGTGAAAGAGACACAAATAGGTAACAGCCTACCTATGGAAGTGAAAAAGTAAAACTGAAATGAAGCTTTTATTAAAAAAAAACAGGTCTCCATACAACTAATTTCAGATCAACCTTAACTGTATTTTATAGCCACTAAATCCAAATAAAAAACCTGAGGCGAAGGCTCCAGGAAAACATTTTTAATGCAGTAAGCCACAGAGCATAATGCAATATGGACTGGATTAGGACATTTGCTTAATTACCAGCTACCTACCAGAAAATCAGACTTGCTCCAAAGTTTTTTTAAAAGACTCTGGGATCCCAGAATGGAACCAATGCTTTCCCCTTTCCTTGAGAGGGAGAGTTGATGACAGTGCCTACCATACATAACACTCAAAGTGTAACTGTGCGGTACCATTACCTGGCAGTTAGGAGACCGGAGATCCCAGAGTCGAATGGTCTTATCAAGAGACCCAGAAATGAAAGTGTCATCCACAGGTGACATGGACAAGGCCACCACCCTGAAATGCATTGAGATAAATAGGAGTTGAAGCAAAATATTTATAAAAACTGGATGTGAACCTTAAACCACTCTACCAGCTTACATATATAAAACTGTTCTCCCCAAACTGCCATTTTAAAGAGCATACTACACAAGCAATCTGGAAAGTCCAAAGCAACTAATATAATGAAAAAAGCAACTTAAAGCTATAACATAAAAATGTATGATTCCAATGCAAATCAAAACACAATGAGATACCACTTCACAACCACCAGCATAACTATAATCTAAAAGAGAGATAACAGAAAAAAAGGAGATATAACAAATGTTGGTAAGGATGTGGAGAAGTTGGAATCTTCATACACTGCTGGTGGGAATGTAATGGCACAGTTCCTTTGGGAAAGGTTTATAATTCCTCAAAACACCAGAGTTGCTATGACCCAGAAATTACAAGAAAAATGAAAGTGTATGTCCACACAAAAAAAGAACACATATGCTCATAGCAGCATTATTCATAAGAGTGAAAAACTGGAAACCCAAATGTCCATCAACTAATGAATGGATAAGCAAAATGTATGTATCCATACAACGGAATATTATTCAACATTAAAAAATGAAGTGCTGATTCATGTTACATACAGCATGTATGAACTTTGTAGACATGATAAATGACAAACACAAAAGGTCATATACTGTCTGATTCTATTTATTCAAAATGTCTAGAAGAGGCAAAGCTATGGAGACAGAAAGTAGATTAGTGGTTGCCAAGGAGTGTGAATGGGTACAAGGTTTCTCTTTGGGGTGATGAAAATGTTCTGGAATTAATATAGTGGAATGGTTGCCCAACTTCGTAAGTGTACTGAAAACCACTAACTGTTTAGTTTAAAAGGGTAACTTTATGGTACTGAACTATATGGGGTACTCAGTGACTGGTCTGTGGCCTAGACTAAAAATCTATATATATCCAAGTGGCCTAGACTAAAAGTCTACACCACTCATTAAGTATCCCATATAGTTCAGTACCATAAATTCACCCTTTTAAAGTAAACAGTTCAGTGGTTTTCAATACACTTACAAAGTTGGGCAACCATTCCATCATCTTTTTTTTTTTAATATATATATTTTATTGATTTTTCTTACAGAGAGGAAGGGAGAGAGATAGAGAGGTAGAAACGTCGATGAGAAACATCGACCAGTTGCCTCTTGCACACCCCCTACCGGGAATGTGCCCGCAACCAATGTACATGCCCTTGACCGGAATCGAACCTGGGACCTTTCAGGCTACAGACCGACACTCTACCACTGAGCCAAATCGGTTTCGGCCATTCCACTATCTTAATTCCAGAACATTTTCATCACTCCAAAGAGAAACCTTGTACCATTCTCACTCCCTATACCCATTCTAGATTTTTAAAATCTAGAAATAGAGGAAATTCAAGTTTTGAATGATACTGAAAGGGGTTCAGGAGGTTTTGGTTCCACTAGAAAGAATTAAACTGTATACCATGAATAGAAAATAAAAAAATTTACCAGCATGGCTGGGAGGGTGGACTCAAACTGATCACTGGGGTCACTCCCAGGAATAATCCAACAGGTCTGGGCTGAGGTCTGAGAATTCAGGTTTCTAACAAACTCCTAAGTGATCATGAGACTGCTAATTTGGGCATTACACTTACAGAGCCACAGGCCTGTGCTACCAGCAACTGTATAGGTCCCTTTGTATGATTATCCCATTAAGAATTACCCACTGCCCAGCTGGTGTGGCTCAATGGTTGAGCACTGACTCATGAACCAAGAGGTCACAGTTTGATTCCCAGTAAGGGCACATGCCTGGGTTGCAGGCCTGATCCCCAGTAGGGGGTGCAGAAGTCATTCAATCAATGATTTTTCTCTCATCATTGATGTTTCCATCTCTCTCTTCTTCTCCCTTCCTCTCTATAACCAATTTGAGAGGGGGGGGGGGGGGAGGGAGGGAGGGGCAGGCGGGCGCGGGGGGGGGGGGGGGGGGGGGATAGCTCACTGAAAAACATTTCTTCCAAGGACTCATCCTGAGCTCTCCTGTCCTCCCTGCTGGTGTTCTTGCTCTGCCATTCTGTGCTCTGAAGAGACACCCTCCATTTCCTCAGCATTTGGACCTGGCCTGCAGAGAAGGACCACATGTGGCTCCACTTTACCTGACCATGGGGTTCTTGAGGTGTGAGCTATGATCTGTGCAGTGACTGTGACTCTACCATATCACCTATGAAGAAAGCCCTTGTGAAAATAGACACTCAGGTGGCTGTTCCTTCTAGGTGTTATGGTCAAATAGTTCCACATTCTGGCTTGGCTATAAAACACTTCATAGATTTAGCAGCTGGTATCACAAATCAAGACTACAGATATACAGGAGCCCTGGCGGAGTAGCTCTGTTGGTTACAGCATTGTCCCAATACACCAAGGTTGCAAGTTTGATCTCCGCTCAGAGCATATACAATGAATCAACCAATAAATGCATAAATAAGTGGAACAATGATGTCTCTCTCTCTCTAAAAATCAATCAATAAAAAAACTTTTAAAAATTTTAGAGGAAATATGCTTGTTGTACTGTTTCATTTGACAAAGAAAAGCTTGAAATAAAAAAGGTGATTGAACTGCACAGCTCATTTGTAAATAGATTTTTAAAATCTAGAAATAGAGGAAATTCAAGTTTTGAATGATAGTGAAAGGGGTTGAGGAGGTTTTGGTTCCACTAGAAAGAGTTAAAGTGTATACCATGAATAGAAAATGAAAAAAATTTACTTTCCTTACCATGTACTTTTTAAAATTTTTCTCAAAAAAAAAAAAAAAATCTTCCAATATAACTCAACTAACATTTACACCAGCTCCCCAACTTAAAAATTTAAAAGATACTGTAAGCTAAAATTTCCTCGAAATGCTAAAGTGATACTAAAGTAAATATTAAGCAGAGTAAGCAAAATGCATGCATATAGATAGACATGTAATTTTATGCCACAGCATTCAGGTCAATAGCTCAGAGGAAATCCATCTTGGATTTTATGCTGAGAGGTACAGGGAACACAAAAAGGAATAATACCTCAACTCTATGGGAGCTTAACTATCTAGTCCAGACATCTCTAAGAGAAGATCAGGTAAGGCTTCCTGGAAGAAGCATTACCTGTGGTAAACATGATTTCAATGGGAGACACCTTTCCAACTGAGAGATAATGATGGGGAAAAGGTCAGAGCCAGAGGAAGGAGAACCTGAGTCCAAGGGAAATGAGTAGGCAAATGTGGAGAGTCTTTAAGGTTTCCTGAGGGAGAATGTGGTCAGAACTGTAACACAGGTGCTAAAGCAGGATGGTAAGGGATGGGGAGATTAATTAGCATTTGACAATAATTCACCTGACAGAACAGAAGCAAAGGAAAGAGTAGGAAGGATTAAAACTAGATAGAATCAATAGGATTTAACAGCTCACTGGATGTGAAGGGAGGGGAAAGGGAGTCCAGAGAATTGATAGGAACAGATATGAAGAAACATGAGGTAAACAGAGAGATGACTCAAGGAACAGAACAATGATGGATGGAGTGTTGGACCTGTCAGGTATGGGTATGGAAAAAACATCTGCACAGATGAGTATAAAACCTGTAGGTGAAAGTTGAGTCTGGAAATCATGGCAGATATGGGCTAAAAATACTGATTTGGGAAGCCACCTGAGTAGATATGAATTAAATCAGGGGAGATATATATTTTTTAAATACCAGGTAGGGGGAGAGGCTAGGATAGAACCTTATTTATTTTAGAGCCAAAAGGAGAAAGAGAAGCCAAGAATAGCAAGGGGACAGAATCCAGATGGAAAAAGTCAGCTGCATACTGGGGAAAAAATGTTTTACTGAAAAGCTGAGCACCCTGCAAAAAAACCTAAGACAATGGATTTTAACTGGAGGCAGCAGGGAAAAAGAAGTAAAACAGCTTAGAAAAATCCCCATACATGATCTGGGACTAGACCACATGTGTCAAACACAAGGCCCGCGGGCCAAATCCGTCCCGCCAGGCCTTGCAATGTGGCCTGCACTGCGCTGTCATCACTGCACTCCGCTGCGTTTCCATCACAATGACAGTTTATGACTGTTCAGTAAACCATTCGGCCTGCGATTTAGGCTGGATTTTAGATTTTAGCCCCTTCTCTGACTGAGTTCGACACCCCTAGACTAGACTGAGACTGAGACTGATTTAAATAGTGAATAACTCTGAGGAGGCAGAGACAGGAGTATGCAAATTACTCATGTTTGACTGTGAAAAGGAGTGGGTGATAGGCTCCAGAAATAGGTTTAAGATATGAGACCAAGTCTGTGGACAGCAAGGAAATGTCCAGTTAAGGAGATGAAAGCAAACAGAGATTGGTTTTGTCAAGGAAGAAAGGCTACTCTTTTTTCAAGAAAAGATTAGAAGGAAGAGTAGAATTTGGGTGAAAGAAATAGAATTTGAAAAGAACTCATTTTGGATGGCCTTCATTTTGTCAAAAGGAGAGGGACGTCTTCTACTAATAAGAATCAGGTGGTCAAGAGATTGAACAACTGGGAAGATTAGAAAGAATTTTGAACAACTGCAATCTAATCTTAATTACAGACAACAGTATATTAGTGAACATTAATTTGATTACAAACAAGGAAAAACATCTACTACTTGTCTCAAGCCACTCACTGTCTGGCACTACAGTAATCAACAGCTGCTGCCTCTTACCTTAAGCAACATAGAAATGCCCTGACCAATCAGAGTGCAGCCTGGCTCTTGGTCCACCTCCTGTCAGGGTACTCTACCACTCCGAGCCTTACTTGGTTTCTGGACATTTGCTAATGAAAGCTAATGAGGAAGTAACCCCCTCCCTGTGATTAAAATATCATCCAAGGGAAAAACATGTTTAACATTCAACCAAAACTTGACAAACTAGAGAAAAAATACTGAGGAAATTGGCGAAGGATACAACAGAGAAGCAACCTACACTACCAAATATTATAGAATAAGGAAACAAGTTTCTTGACTTTCAAAAGTAACAAAGGACAATTATTCTTTTGCATCCTCATTAAGATCCCCACATAGAATATGTCTGTGTAGAGCAGAAGCCTGCTGAAATGGGACCACCTTACTGGAAGGCTTCATATATGTACAGATATCCCTTTCATTGGGGTTCCTAAATGCTAACAGTATTTTTTATTACATAGGTTTCCACTGAATATCTTTAATCTACCGTTTTTCCTAATTACGTTTTAACTGTGATTTTGAGACAGACCAGTAAACCAGGACAAGTGGACTAGGGAAAGTAAGATCAAACTGTTAAACAACAGTTTGCAACCATCTAGAAATTCAAGATCCCAAGCAGTTACTAGTACAGCCATCTAGTACAGTGATCGCCAACCTTTCGGACCTCATGGACCAGCAGTGGGGACCACCAGTTGGCGACCACTGATCTAGTATATCCTATCTTCCCTAAACCAGGGACATTTGAGTAAATGATTCCCACTTATCCTAACCAGAGGGTAAATAGCTTAAATCATTCTATGCAGGGAGACAGCAGGAATCCAAATAGTGCCATTTGCTAACAACAACTAAGGACCGATGAAGTTAAGAGAATAAACCTCATTTTGGTACATGAGCATAAAGCTGATGAATATTCTATCGAGATTCTCCCTTGAGACTTCCCCTAAACACCCAGTCCTTAAAAACCCTCAAAACAAAGTTCCCAGCCTACTTTCTCCTTCCTACTTCTTTCCCGTAGACATGTATCTCCTAAACTCCAAGGGACCCCACAAGGCTTGCAACCAGGACAGCAATGGGCAGTGGCAGATCATCCCCAGCAAACCCCTGGAGCCTGTACCCAAGGTCCTCTTTTCTCTGACATTTTAGTGAGCCAAAGCAAACCAGCCTAAGCTCATTTCCCAGCCCTTCCTTGTTTCATTGTCCCCAACTTTAATAAACGTCCTCTAAAATTCACCTGGACTCCATGCTGTGAAATTTTTCCTGCACGAAATCAAGACCCCACAGGCTGGCCTTAGGCAGACTCACCAAGGACCAGTCCCCTTTCCGGCAACAATTTAATTTATCTATGGAGTCCTACCCCTACCTCCACAACCTCAGTTAATCAAGAGTTGACTGAGGGGAGATTAACAAAAGAAAACCAAGAGGAAGGCCAAGCAGCAGTGAGGAACTAGCTTTATTTCACAGATAAAAAATCTCTCTATTCATTCTTCTATTATCTGAGAGCTCAGAGATAAAAAAAAAAAAAAAAAAAACTATCCATGCCTATAACACTTGGGGTCTTACCTTTTGTTATGTCCAGGAAAGTATCTGATGTATTTGTTGTCATGCAAGGACAGGTAACGAATAGTATCTGCAAGAAGACAAATAAGGCATGATGATATCCTACTATTTTTAAAGAAACTTACTTTGCATCTCATCTTGAAAAGGCAAGATCAAAGAAGTCACTGCTGTCTTTAACACAAGCAACGTGTGAATAAATAGTAAATAATTCCTTTCCACAACTGAAAAGAGGGCACTACAGATCTGACATTATTCAAAAGCAGAATTCTTAAGTTGACAAGACTATCGAGCAATAACCTCACCTAAATGTGTTTACAATTTATTTGCATAAAAACTAAACAAAATGGAAAGAGAAGTTACTTCTTTTCTAATTAACCAGCTATCCACTGGTCCCTTGTGCATCAGAGAAATTAGTTTAAAATACTAATAAAGTGGCCAAAAGAAGTGAGAAAATTTGGATTTCAAAGATCTTTAAGATATTTTCAAAATAAAACTCATGAACTATACCAAGAGTCAGAACAGTGAGATTTTGACAATAACAACGAAAGGAGTAATCGTAGAGATTTGTGCTTGGATAAAATAAGACACTCAAAAACCAAATGATTAAAAGATGGTGGTGGGAAAGGAAATGAAGTGCCATAAAGAATAGAACTGGAAAGTATTATGCTCTTAAAAAGACTATGAATAAGGAACAATTGTTGAGAAAGTAATAGGAAATGATGCCAAAATGCAGAAAGGAAAGCACAGAAAGAACATTCTGGAGGAAAACAGAACACAGGAACAAAGACACTAACAACACCAAGTCATCCCAATGGTTCACAGGAGTAGTTTCTAGTAAAAGGGCATTTAAGCTGAGAGAGGGTTACAAAATTGAACTCTACATGGTTTTCCTTGAATACATCTTTAAAGTTCTCCAATAACTACTAAGTCTTCCTGTTTGTCCTGTTGCTAGGAGCTACTCACCTTTCCTAAGCAGAAAAAGGCTTTCTCCCCATTACCTGGTTTCCCAGAGATGAGCAGGGCGTTGCCATCCTCTCCGCCCCACTCGGTAGCTGGCGCGCTGTTCCTGGCAAGGCAGTGGCCTGTACAGTTATCTCCTGTACCGGGTGGTATCATAGACCCTCAAACTGTACAAACTACTACCTCAGCCTGGAATCAGGCAAAAGGAAACGAAGCGTTGAAGGAACTCTTCAGGATGCACTCGAGACAGGAAAGGCAATATCCTCACAGCAGAGGCCTGGCAGCAAAGCTGCCAAGTGCCACACATTTGCCTCATCTTGAACCAGATTTGGACAATCCTTATTTAATCACCCAGAAAAAGACCCCAACAGAAGAAATATTCCAGTCATGCAGATAATCACATAGATATGTATCCTTAGGATTCTAATGTCTTATATATGCTTGTCAAAAGTATCAAATGCATGCTTACTTAAAAAAATATAGGTATGAAAAGCAGAAATAATATACTTACTAAAACTCAATTACAGGTAGAAACATCTCATTAAATATTTAAAAAAATCAAAAAGAGCAGAAACCGGTTTGGCTCAGTGGATAGAGCGTCAGACTGAAAGGTCCCCGGTTTGATTCCGGTCAAGGGCATGTACCTTGGTTTGGGCACACCGCAGGAGGCAAATGATCAATGTTTCTCTCTCATCAATATTTCTAGCTCTCTATCCCTCTCCCTTCCTCTCTGTAAAAAAAAAAAAAATCAATAAAAAATATTAAAAAAATAAAATATCATTCTAAAAAAAAAAAAAAAAAAAAAAAAGACATTTCTGCTCTCAGACTGGCAGAGCCACAATAACAGTGTAAGCAATCTCTGTTGAATGACATTAGAAAAATCTTACCGCAAAAAAAGTGAAACAATCAAATTAGTGAGAATTTTTTTAAAAAGGAGTCCTAACATGGAAGTGTTGCCCAGTCAGTGTGGCTCAATGGTTGAGCACTGACTTATGAACCAGGAGGTCACAATTAGGTTCCTGGTCAGGAACATGCACAGGTTGAGGACTTAATCCCCAGTGGGGGGGCGTGTAGAAAGCAGCCAATCAATGATTCTCTCATTATTGATGTTTCTTATCTCCCTCTCCCTCTATCTTTCTCTCTGAAATCAATAAAAATATATTGTAAAAAATAATAATAGCCAAAACTGGTTTGGCTTAATGGATAGAGCGTCAGTCTGTGGACTGAAAGGTCCCAGGTTCGATTCCAGTCAAGGGCATGTACATTGATTGCGGGCACATCTCTGGTAGGGGGTGTGCAAGAGGCAGCTGGTCAATGTTTCTCTCTCATCGACGTTTCTAGCTCTCTATCCCTCTCTCTTCCTCTCTGTGGAAAATCAATAAAATATATTTAAATAATAATAATAATGATGATGATGATAAAAGAAAGTGGTATTGCTCAATTATCAAGATCATCTGTCACTGAGAACTTATCCAGGTGAAATGCAGGTAAAAACCGAGACCATTATTAGAGAAAAAAACTCACAAGTTTCATTTCTGAAAATAATTTTACTCTTCAAAGACATTAGCTTTACTTAAAAGGGAAAAGGATAAAATTCAGATAAAAACATTGTCCCCAGAATTAAAGACAAACAAGGTCAGCACAATGTCCTTTATTGACACAGACCATAAAAGATTGGGCATACACTAAGAACTCCTCTAGATCCCATAAACTATCATAGCTCAAGCATTTATAAAAACTTTTCTCAAATCTCTATATTTTGAAGAGGAGGTACTATTGTTTACCACTTGCTGTGTGTCAAGTATTCTTTCCTTTCATTTTTTCTAAAAGTATTCTTCTAAGTTTCAAGAAGTACAAACCTTAAACACCATTTGTTGCTTCCTATTTCCACTTTCTACTCTAAACTAAATATCTTTCATACTCAATTTCAAGACTTTCAAAAGCACTTGCGGCTTGCCTCCAGCATCTTTTCAGTCATAACAATGTTAGCACTGCTAACATCATAGGAAAATATTTAAAGTAACTACCACCAAAACAGAAATAGTCACAAAGATTCCATTAACTATTTAACAAAGGAAACCATGACCATTAACTACTAAAAAGAAGGCTTGCTTACCATCTATTTTATTAGAGCTGTAAACGACTGTGTTTGCTGCATGAGTATATCTGATGAGGTCCACGCCATATTTCTTACTGTACAGGGTTCTCTTTGGTCTGATAAGAAAATGGATAGAGAAAGAAAACCATCAAAATCCTCCATCATCAAAATCTGGGATCTTCATTTTTTAAAAAGCACTTGAATGATTTGGCAAAGATGAGGATTCTTGGTAATCTCTAACAATGGAAAGAATCAGAATTTCTTACAAGAGGGAAGAAACAAATGAAATCAATCAAGTGCAACAGCTTTTCACCAAAGGCAAAGATTCGAAAGTGGAAGTAAATCTGAGGGCTCAATACAGTCTTTATTACAATGTTCAAAAGTTAGCTTTGACAAAAAATACATCTATTTGGGAACAAAGGCACGCACGCACAAAGTCATCTTGTTAACAAAGGGGGATATGGCAATACATCAAACCAGTGAGGCCAGAACTTTCTGTTTACCTTTCCTAATAACCTGCTGTCGCAGAAGCTATCCAATCTCCCTATCCTACATGTCCAAAGTACTTACTGAGCCTTTTGAAAGGCAAGCCTAACTCTCCCTAGCAAAACTAGTTAGTCAGTCATTCATTGCTTTCTTTTTACTTTAATGCAAAATCAATCCATTCGCTGAAGTTCCTTAAATGTCTTCCTCTGTGGAAGCCTGAGGATCAAGCTGAAACCAAATTCAACAAAATCATTAACCAAAACTTCATAATGTTCTACATTTATGTGTAGGAGAATTTCATAAATCCTGTACGAATGTTTACCAAGAGTTTTGATTTATGACAAAGATCACCCTGTCATCAATGCAAATTCATCTTGGCACATAGATGCTAAACTATCAGATGATCCAGGCAGCTATAAGAAATCAATCATATGCACTTCCAATATTTTTGTTTGTTCTCACCTGAGTATATTTTTCCCATGAGAGAGTAAGAGGGAGGGAAGGAAGGAAGGAGAAAGGGACATCAATGTAAGAAGTCTCACCTCACATCAATTGGTTGCCTCCTGCACATGCCCTGAATGAAGTGGGGATTGAATCTGCAACCAGGTATGAGCTCCTGACCAGAAATCAAATCCACAACCCTTGGGTGCATGGGCAGACATAACCACTGAAAACACTGGCCAGGTCTCAATATTTTTTAATGTCAGTAAGATTAACAATTTCCCTACATAAAATGCATTTCCAAACAAGACTTCTCACTCCAAATGAACTGAATTTTCCATTTCTTACCATTACTGAAAGATCAGCTAAAAAGATCAGCTCAGAGGCTAGCTACCTAGCAAAGTCCACTGTCCAGAGTTGTTCATTGGGGTTACTTACTATATGGTGGTATCCAGTGAGAATGAATAAATACATAAGAGCATGCACATGTGCTTGCTCTCATAAGATAGTTCAGCGTTTTTCAACCGCTGTTCCGCGGCACAGTAGTGTGCCGCGAGATGTTGCCTGGTGTGCCGTAGGTGCAGACAAGACAAGAATTTTATAATTTTTCACTATTTTGTTTACTTAATATTTCATAATAAAGTAATTATAAAATACTTTCTTTGTGTTTATTTGATTCCTATTCAAGAGAATTACTTTATATATAGTCAATATAGGCACAGAGTTAAATTTTTTAACATTTTCTAATGGTGGTGCGCCTCGTGATTTTTTTCATGAAACAAGTGTGCCTTTGCCCAAAAAAGGTTGAAAAACACTGAGATAGTTGACTTTGCCTCTATCAGTGAAAGGAGAAGCTTACTTGTCCCAGTATTTCAGTCTATTAACAGTAGAGCCTAAAGAGCCAATGTTAAAGTCTGTGGTGTAAGGAAAATTTTCAGTTCCACTCTTATATACTAGGTGTACCGGTTAATAATGGAGGATTTTGTAATCAAAGAAAACAAGGTAATTTTGAGAGAAACATCAAAATTGCTTTATTCAAAGTAATGTCCATCGCTAGCTACACAATTTCCCCATCTTTCAGGTAATTTGTGGATATCGCCCCAATAGAACTTTTCTTGTTTTGAGGCACACCATTCAGAGACCCAATTTTCCACTTCTTATGTTTTGTTTTTTTGTGTTTTTTAAATATATTTTATTGATTTTTCACAGAGAGGAAAAGAGAGATAGTTAGAAACATCGATGAGAATCATCGATCAGCTGCCTCTTGCACACCCCTTACTGGGAATGTTCCCGCAACCAAGGTACATGCCCTTGACCGGAATCGAACCCGGGACCTTTCAGTCTACAGGCTGACACACTCTATCCACTGAGCCAAACTGGTTTCGGCCACTTCTGTTTTGAAGTGCTGCTCAGAACGTGCATGTGCCATCGATTGGAACAAGTGGTAATCTGAAGGAGAAAGGTCTGGTGAATATAGCGGGTGGGTTAATACTTCCCAGGTGGGTTAATACTTCCCAAAGTCTTCTAATGTGTCTTTAACTGGTTTTGAAGTGTGTGATGGTACTTCATCATGAAGCAAAATTACTTTGCTGTGTCTTCTGGCACATTCTGATGGTCTCACGACCAAAGTGTGATTCAAATTGATTATTTGTTGTTGGTAGTGATCAGTATTAACAGTTTCACCTGGTTTTAGCTCATAATACACCACATCTTCCTGATCCCACCAAACTCAGAGCATTGTCTTCTTTCCAAAGCGATTTGGCCTTTCAGTTGAGTTGATGGTTGATCTGGATCAACTCATGATTTTGTGCATTTGAGACTCTCAAAATAAATCCAATTTTCATCGCCAATCACAATTTGATGCAAAAAAACAAAAAACTTTTTCATGCTTTCGTTGAAGCAACATTTTACTGGTTTTTCATTGACTTTTCGGTTTTCCATTTATATATATATATTTCATTCAGTTGACGTGGCACCCATTTTCCTTCCTTTAAAATCTTTCCCATTGCTTGTAAATGATCGAAAACTGTTTGCTGAGCAACGTTTAATCTTTCTGCAAGTTGTTTTTGAGTTTGACACACATCTTCATCCAGTAAAGCTTGTAATTCTTAGTCTTCAAACTTTTTCAGTTGACCTGGACGTTGTCTTTCACATCGAAATCATCACTTTTAAAGCATCTAAACCAGCGTTCACAAGTATCTTGAGATGAAGCATGTTCACCATAAGTTTCCCGAAGTATACTTTTTCTTCAAAATAATGAATTAAAACTTACCACAAATGCTCTTTTTTGGGGGGGTTGGGGGACATGAAATTCAACACTTCTACTAGTAAGCATAAAAATATCTATGATGTTAACACCTTCAGCAAATTTGACATATGAAGTTTTGAAACTTGCTGTAATACAACAAAATAGCATATATATCAAATCCCATATATATCAACATGTGTAACTCCATCTATTGAAAAAAATCCACATTAACTGGTACACCTAGTAGCATATTTGCCTCAAATTTGTCAATAACACTAACCTGATATTTGTTCTTAATTACAGAAATCTTTTACCACGTGATTTTCTAGTTTGAAAGTAAGATTCTAATGTACTGCATTCATTTCAGAGAACCTTTACAAAGCCCAGGAACAACATTTTTTAACAAATATTTTGGTAAGCTTTTCTCCACCAACCAAAATCATGGGTTGATCTAGATTGATGATTCTGGTGGTCAAGAATGAATAAATAGCCCTAGCTGGTTTGGCACAGTGGATGGAGCTTCTGCCTGCAGACTGAAGGGTCCCAGGTTTGATTCTGGTCAAGGGCACATGCTCAGGTTGCAGATTCGATCCCCAGTAGGGGAAATGTAGGAGGAAGCCAGTCAATGATTCTCTCTTATCATTGATGTTTCTATCTCTCTCTCCCTTCCTCTCTGAAATAATAAAAATATATTTTTAAATAATGAATAAATAACATTAAAGCCTTCTTTTTGGATAATTCGCATCATCTGCCACAGATAATATCCTTCATATTCTCTCAAGTTGAAAAAAAAAATCACTCAATGGATGAACTCCATTATAAAATTTTAAAGAACAGTAAACTAGAAAACATAGAGCATAAAGAATATTGTTTGCCCTAACCAGTTTGGCTCAGTGGATAAGAGCATTGGCCTGTGACTAAAGGGTCCCAGGTTTGATTCCGGTCAAGGGCATGTATCTTGGTTGCAGGTACATCTCCAGTAGGGAGTATGCAGGAGGCAGCTGAATCGGTTTCTCCCCCATCGATGTTTCTAACTCTCTATTCTATCCCTCTCTATTCCTCTCTGTAAAAAATCAATACATTAAATTTTTAAAAAAAGAATAAACGGGCTTGACACCTCCAACTTCTAGGGGGAAAAATGTGTATGTTTAAATATGTACATAGCCAAAACCGGTTTGGCTCAATGGATAGAGCGTCGGCTTGGGGACTGAAGGGTCCCGGGTTCGATTCTGGTCAAGGGCATGTACCTTGGTTGCGGGCATATCCCCAGTAGGGGGTGTGCAAGAGGCAGCTAATCGATGACTCTCTCTCATCGATGTTTCTCTCTATCTCTCTCCCTTCCTCTCTGTACAAAATCAATAAAATATATTTAAATATGTACATAGAGAATAAAGCAAATGGGGCCAATTATTGGATCATACGGGTGTTCTTTGGAACATTGCTGTGACTTTTCTATAAGTTTGTAATTATGTAAGAATGCTACATGAGTGAATAAAACTATAGTATGTCATAAAATTAGCATTTTACTTTTATCAAGATAGGACTTCAAGTCACTGTCATTCCTCCCAACAAGTCAAAATTTATTTCCTTTGAATGAAGATATGCACTTTCATCCTCAGATTCCAGGGAGAAGTTCTAATCTGTGCACAAGCATTTCAAGGAAGCAAGGTTCAAATTACTTCTAGCTCCAGAACCCCACAACTGACCCCCACCCCAGCTTTATACATTACTCTCTTCCAACCAGATTAAGTGGCCAGATATGGACAGAAATCCATATGCTAAACAAATTAAGATGAGTCAAAAAACTCAGCATCACTCTAGCTAACAAATTCTCTTCCCCCAGGACCACTACTATAGGCCATCCTCCCACACAGAGCAGGCAAATCCAGAGCCAATTACATAATACTTTTTCATAGCCTCAGTGGGAAAAAAGTGGGTAGAACACTATGGCTCAGACCAAACAGAATTACTTTAGATAACTAAACTCACAAAGAGACAAGTTCTATAAGAAAGTTTATAGGAGACATCAGTGTGTATTTTTAAAGGCAAAAAAAAAAAAAAAAAAAAAAAAAAAAGAACAACAACAACAGCTGGAGAAGATAAAGGAAAACCCAAAGATTCAAAAAATAAGATCTGGAACTAGACAACAAAATGAAGTCTGACAAAACCAAACATCTGCAAGCCTGCTTGAGTCAAGTGGCTGAAGGGAAATAAAATTTAGTCTAACCCCAGTTCTGCCCCAAAAGAGCTCACAACTTGGCAAGAACTTTAAGAAAGCAAATCTACAAGGGTGAGGTGAAGCTGACAAGGTCCTCAGGAAAAAAAAAAAAAAAAAAAAAAAAAAAATGCTGGGCTTACAAACAGGTGTGGTGAGTCTCCAGAGGACTTGGGGGGCAACGTATAAATTTCATGGTTAGACTAGACTCGGTTTTTTGATAATTCCAAGTGGACCATAAAGTGTAATTTTTTTTTTTAAGCGTGTAAGAGGAAACACAACATTGTTATACGATGCTTTCTTTGTTCTAAGTTCTAAGGGGAGGTCCACATTCGGGTCGAGATGGGACGGCCAAGTTTGTTTGTGCCTGGCAAAAAAAAAAGGAAAAGTTTCAGATGTTGGTTAAAAAAAAAAAAAAGTTCACTCATAAGCGTGGGCATCGGGTCCGAAGGAATGTGAGCATGATTTGGAACAGAAAGGAAAGGAAGGGGGGGAAAATCCTGACGCTGAGAACTGCAACCCACGCGGCCTTTCAGCAGCAAGGCGGCGGGAGGCTGCGGGCCAGGGGACGGGCGGGTGCCAGCGCTGGATGGAGGTCACCTCCGCGGGGGCACGCAGGACGGCCGGCTGCGGCGGGGGAGCCGGCTCCGCGGTTCGGCGGGCGCCGGGGGCAGAGCCGACGGGCATCTCGGATGGAGTAGGAGGCGCGGGAAAGCCACCCGCTGGGCAAACCGGGCGCTGAAAGGTCAAGGTCATGGCGGGGTTTGGCAAGAGATGCAGGGCGCTCTGGGAAGAGATCGCAGACTTAGAACATACTACTCCTAGCATTACAACCGTTACTTCATCAAAAAATAAATAAAAAAGGAAAGGTCTCCTGGACGGCTTCGGAATGGAAACGGCCCTGGCAGGAGCGAATGCAAAGTAGGCCGGAGGCGGGAGTCGGAGCGGGGAACGGGAGCGCGGGGCGACCCGCGGGCGGGAGGAGGGGCTCGGGGCCGGGCGCGGGGCCAACCGCCGCACTCACTTGCCCTCCTGGCAGTCGTACAGCACGATGGAGTCGTCGTCGCTGCTGGAGATGACCGTCTCGCCGTTAGGGCTGAAGTCGAAGCAGTTGATCTTGTCCGAGTTCTCACGAAACACCTTGGCGACGCGGAAGCTCCGCAGCACGCCGTCGGTCAGCTTCATGGCGGCAGCGGCGGAGCAGGGCCGGGGCGGGGCCCCGCGGCGAGCGGGCAGGCGAGCGAGCGAGCGAGGGAGCGGGCGGGCAGCCGAGGGGCCGACCCAGGCAGGGCAGGCGCCGCGCCGGCGGCGAGCGCGAGAGCGGCGGACAGTCGGGGCGCCTGGTCCTCTCCCTCCTCCTGCTCGTGCCACGCTCTCCTGACAGGGAGGCCTCGCCGACCGTTGCTTCTCGCTGTAGGCTCTCGAGCAACCGACGCGGATCAACTCATTGTGTCGGCCATCTTGGGGCGACTGGCAAAAGCCGAGGGCGAGGGACCTCACCGCGGGGCACGCCGGGAAAGGGGGCGGGGCGGGGCCAACGGCACGAGGCCGGGAAAGGGGGCGGGGCGGTGACGTCAGTGACGGCTCTCGAGAAGTGGAGTAACAGCGTGGCTCCGGGCGGCGGTTTCCCAGCCCGCGCGCGTCGGGGCGGGAGCCGCCCACCGCCTCCCCCGTGGGCCGGAAGACCGCTTTGTGCCGCTTTAGCCCCACCCCGGCTCGGGCGCCCCCTTCCGGCGCCCGATCGCAGGCCACGCGGAGGTCCGCTGTGTCAGTCAGTGAACCCAGCGCTGGCGGGCTTTAACTGCCAGTCCTGGGCAGAAGGGACATAGATTCAATTTCTGTCTTTTTCCTGAGTGCGTTATACTGTATGGTAGGCTGCACGCATTTTAGGGATGAATATTTTTTCATTTGTATATACACACTTTTGTGATCCCGAGCCAGAACTTTAAGCCTTCTTTTTAAAACATTTTTAATGTATAGCATAAAGCGCAGAGTGAACTAATTGTAAGTGTACCGCTCCACACTCATCTAAGTTTTAAAAAAAGGATGTACATCAGATGACATGATATACTGTATAGAGAGAACCCTAAAGATTCCACCAGAAACTACCAGAACTGATAAATGAATTCAGTAAAGTAGCAGGATACAAAATAAATATCCAGAAATCAGTTCCATTATTTTTTCGAGGATATTTTTCTAGTGATTTTTTTTTTTTTTTTTTTTTTAGAGAGAGTGGGAGGGAGGGGGAGAGATAGAGAGAGAGGGAGAGAGATATTGATGTTGGTTGCCTCCTGCACACTCCCCAAACTGAAGCTGAGGATGGAGCCTGTAACAGAGGTACATGCCCTTGACTGGAATGGAACCTGGGACCCTTCAGTCAGCCGCCAGATGCTCCATACACCAAGCCAAACCAGCTAGTTGCATTTTTATACACCAAAAGTGAACTATCAGAAAGGGAGACTAAGAAAACAATCCCACTTACAATTGCATTAAAAAAAAAAAAAATCCTAGCCTGTTTGGCTCATTGATTGGCTGCCTTCTGCACATTTCTCTCTGTCTTCCCTCTCTTCCACTCTCTCTAAAAATCAATGAAGAAATATCCTTGGGTGAGAACTTTTAAAAAATTAAAAGTAAAAATAAATAAATAAATAAAATAGCCTGGCCATTGCTCAATGGTTGCATCAGCCCACCAACTGAAGGGTATCAAGTTCAATTCCTGGTCAAGGACACATACCTTGTTGGAGGCTCCATCTCCCCGGGAGTGTGCGGGAGGCAACCAATCAATGTGTCTCTCTCACATTGATTTTTTAAAATTCTTTTTTGTTTTACATTGTTGTTATTGATATCTCTCTCTTTACGCGTCCCCCCCACACTCCCTTCCTTCCACTCGCTTTAAAAAAAAAGTCAGTATGCATGTGCTCCCAGACCATGTGCATGCACACCCTTCTGCAGCAGTAAAGATAATTGCCTTGCTGAAAAATAAATACATAAATAAATGGGAAAAATATCCTGGGGTGAATATTAAAAAATAAAATAAAATACCTAGGAATAAATTTAACCAAGAATGCAAAAAACTTGTACTTAAAAAATTAGGACACTGAAGAAATAATTTTTATTTTTAATCCTCACCAGAGGATATTTTTCCATTGATTTCTAGAGAGAATGAAAGAGAGAGGGAAAGATAGAGAGAAACATCAATGGGAGAGAAACACATTGATTAATTTCCTCTGACCAGGGCCAGGGCCCGAGGAGCCTGCAACCAAGTTTGGGATCAAACCTGGGACCCTTTGTTCCACAGGACAACGCTCTATCCATTGAGCCAAACCAACTAAGGCTAAAGAAATAAATTGAAGAAGATACAAATAAGTGGAAGCAAATACTGTGTTCATGGATAGGAAGAATTTATATCATTAAAATGTATGCAAAGAGCCGGGACCGGTTTGGCTCAGTGGATAGAGTGTCGGCCTGCAGACTGAAAGGTCCCAGGTTCGATTCCGGGCAAGGGCATGTACCTTGGTTGCAGGCACATCCCCAGTAGGGGGTGTGCAAGAGGCAGCTGATTGATGATTCTCTCTCATCAATGTTTCTAACTCTCTATCCCTCTTTCTTCCTCTCTGTGAAAAATCAATAAAATATATTTTAAAAATAAATAAATAAAATGTATGCAAAGAAATCTATAGATTCAATGCAATTCTTATAAAGATATTAATGGCGTATTTCACAGAACTAAAAAAAAAAAATTCCAAAAAATTATATAGAACCACATCGACCAGCTGCCTCCTGCACACCCCCCAAATAGCCTCAGCAATCTTGAGAAAGAAGAACAAAGTTGGAGGAATCATGCCAATTGCTATCAAACTATACTAGTACTACAAGGCCATAGTAATCAAAATAGCATGGTACTGGCATAAAAACGGACATATATTAGACAGCCCAATCTATGACAAAGGAGGTAAGAACATACAATGGGGTAAGAACAGCACCCTGTATAATGAACCCTTAATATGCAAATCAACAGAACAGCGGAACGACCAGTCGCTATGATGCATACTGACCACCAGGGTGCAGATGCTCAACACAGGAGCTTCCCCTGGTGGTCAGTGCGCTTCCACAGAGGAGCTGAGCAGGGCTTATGGCTGGCAAGCCTCTCCCACCTCCGAGGCAGCGCTAAGGACCCTCAGGGCATGTCCACTAGGCGGTCCCCGACTGCAAGAGGATGCAGGCTGGGCTGAGGGAGCCCCCCTCCGGTCCCCCAGTGCACGAATATTGTGTACCAGGCTGCAGATTGGTGCAGCCACTGTGGAAAACAGTATGGAATTTCCTCAAAATATTAAAAATGGAACTGCATTATGACCCAGAAATTCCACTTTAGGGAATAAAGAGTGTCTCAAAAAATGTGTACACACACTTTGAATAAAAAGCAGTGTTTATTAAAATACATGGCTCAGAGATTTGAGCATCGACCTGTGAACCACGAAGTCACAGTTCGATTCCCAGTCAGGGCACATGCCCAGATTGTAGGCTGGATCCCCAATGTGGGGGGAGGCAGCCAATCAATGATTCTCTCTCATCATTGATATGTCTTTCTTTATTTTTTAATTTTATTTAATGTTACTTCACCCCAGCCTCCCTAAACCCTGCATTCCTCATCCTTGATATTTCTATCTCTCTCTTCCTCTCTGAAATCAGTAAAAATATTTTTTAAAAATACATTTTAGCCGAAACCGGTTTGGCTCAGTGGATAGAGCATCAGCATATGGACTGAAGGGTCCCGGGTTCGATTCCAGTCAAAGCCATGTACCTTGATTATGGGCACCTCCCCAGTAGAGGGTGTGCAGGAGGCAGCTGATCGATGTTTCTCTTTCATCGATATTTCTCTCTCATCGTCAATGTTTCTAACTATCTCTCTCCCTTCCTCTCTGTAAAAAAATCAATAAAACATATTTTAAAATAAATAAATAAATAAAATAGAAAATTTAAAAAATATAAAAATACATTTCATTTTCAATATTGAGCTATCAGCTGTTAAAGTGTGTATACATTTCGGGGTGGGGGGGACACCCTATATATCCAAAAAAAACCTGAAACACCAATTCAAAGGGATTTTTGCACCCTTCTGTTCATTTCAACTTGATTTATAATAACCAAGATTGAGAAGCAGTCTAAGTGCTCATCAATAGATGAGTGGATAAAAAAAAGCTGGTGTACATTTAACAATGGAATACTGCTTGATCATTTAAAAAAAAAGAAACTCTTACATTTTTGTGGCAGCCTGGATGGACCTGGAAAGTATCATGCTAAGGGAAATGGGCCAGTCAGAGAGAGACAAGTATCCTATGATCTCATTTATAGGTGGAATCTAATGAACAAAATAAACTAACAAAATAAAACAGACCATAGATACAGAGAACAGAGAGACAACTGTCAGAGACGAGGGGATTCTGGGGCTGGGTGAAAAGAGTGAAGAGATTAAGCAAAAAAAAAAAAAAAAAAAAAAAAAAAAAATCATATACACAGACGACAGTATGGTGAATACCAGAGGGAAAGGGGAGTAGGAGGAGGTAAAAGAGGGTAAAGGGGTGATAAATGGTGATGGAAGGAATCTTGATTTGGGGTGGTAAACACATAATACAATATATAGGTGCCATATTGTAAAATTGTACACCTGAAACCTATATAATTTGATTAACTAACTAGAGGCCCAGCACACAAAATTCGAGCACTGAGGGGTTGTCCCTCAGCCCAGTCTGCATCATCTCCAATCTGGGACCCCTCAGGAGATGTCCAACTGCTGGTTTAGGTCCAATCCCTGTTGGACATCCCTCTCACAATCTGGGACTTTTGGCCCCTAACCACTCACCTGCCTGATTGCTCCTAACCACTCTGCCTGCCAGCCTGATAGCCTTCTAACTCCTCCCCTGCTGGCTTGATTGCCCCAACTGCCCTCCCCTGCAGGCCTGGTCCCCCCCAACTGCCCTCCTCCACTGGCCATCTTGTGACTATGGGGGCAGCCATCTTGTAATGCGATGGCATGAGGGTCAAATTGCATATTACCTCTTTATTATACAGGATGTCACCCCAATAAATTCAGTAAAAATATTTTTAATATATAGGAGAAAAAATGTACTTACAGTTCCAAAACTCATAGCAGCAATTACAAATAAAATTCTAAAAGGGAAAATTATCTCCTCATTCCACTAACTGCAGTTTTATTTTTTTAAAATATATTTTGATTTTTTTTTTTTACAGAGAGGAAGAGAGAGGGATAGAGAGTTAGAAACATTGTGACCAGAATTGAACCTGGGACCTTTCAGTCCGCAGGCTGATGCTCTATCCACTGATCCAAACCAGTTTCGGTACTAAATGCAGTTTTAAATTTCCCTGATTTCATATATATGTAAATACATAAGTACACACACACACACACACACACACACAAACTTTACAGATGCATCATTTCCTCCCCCATACCTTAGTATTGCTTCGTA